CCCGCCCCCGCAAAAAAATCAAGTCATTCAAGCAGCAGCAAAATTAGCCCAAAAGAAAAACCACACACAGGGCCAGTCAGATAGTTCAGCAGATTACAGCGCCTGCTTAGGCAGATGCAGCAGTTCGATCCCCAGCATGCCATGCCCTATTCCCCCACTCCGCCGCCCCACTGACACGGTGAAAGGGACTGAGCCTGGTGGCGCGCGCCTGTAATCCCAGTGCTTGGGAGGCTGAAAACAGGAGGATTGCTACGAGTCGAATCTGTGTGGTACACCCTGTACTAAATATATTTAAAACACATACATACACACACACACACACACACACACACACACACACAGAAGCCCCAAGGGCAGATGGGGTTAAGACTGGGTAATGCCACGTCTCTAAGCCTGGGTTCCAATCCCATTCACATAATATGAAAAATACAAAAGGCCCTGAGGGTCAGAGAAGTGACAGAAGTCACTGGCTGTGGGCTCAGAGGTACCCACAGCCACCTGGAGGCCTAGGGACCCTCACTGCCCTTACCCACCCCATCCATTCCCTGTGACAGAACCACATGTGACCAGGACTCCTCCTGGAGCTGACCACAAACTGCCTTCATATAATCAAAGACAAAGTAAGGCTTGTAAAAACACCAGTCTCCACATGCACAGAGTCAGGAAAAGGATGCAGAAATGTCAGCAGAGGAAACCAAGACCCCGAAAGTTCTCAAGTGACACGCAGGGTCCTGGATGTGGCCCGCGGGAGGGCTCGCAGGCAGGACATCGACACCACCTTGTCAGAGGGGTGGAGGGTGAAAAAAGACGCAGGCCAACAGAAGCTGCAGCATGCCAGCAAATGGGTCAGCCAGGTTCCCGACACCCAGGGAGGGGGCGGGGGGCAGAAACCACCGCAGGACACTCCCTGTTTTGGGAAGACACGAATACTAACATTCAAAGTACTGCAAAGTCCAAGTAGGACGAAGTCATAAAACTCCACGAGACACTGCAATGAAAACGGAAAAAGGAAGCTTTCTGTATTGTTGGCAAATGTAAACCAGTACAACTACGGATTCCTAAAAGAGTAAAACTAGCAGCTCCTTTGGAGCCAGCCATTTCCCTTCTAGGGATCTTCTCAAGAGCCAGGACGGCGCATTACAGCAATACATGCACGTGCACAGCAACAGCAGCACAACGCACCGCAGCGAGGTCCCACAACGGTCTGTGCGCCTTCAACGGCAGAATGGACAAAGAAAACACGTGTGCGCGATGGAGCACCACTGAGCCATACACAAGGATAAATGTGAGCCACCTGTAGGAAAATCAACGGGTCTTAAGACCATAATGTGAAGGAAAATAGAAACAGAAGGCTAAATATCACATGGTTTCTCTTAGAAGAACCCAAAGTATGAAAAATCTAATGAGCAAGTAAAAGACAGGAGACAGGAAGACAGATCTGCCATGAGAAGACGACGGAGGAACAGAGGGCCTTGGATGTGAAGTGAGGAACGTGCTCCTTACGTAGTACTAGAAACAAACAAGAGCCGGACAGGCCCTCGGCAGCAGCTGCGTGAGGTGGTGGCCAACACTGTCAGCAGACGCCTCAGAGGCAGAGGCTGAGGAGCTCACAGCGCTGTTTCAGAAAGCTATCAGCCAAAAAACATCTACCAGCGCAGGGGAGATAGCTCAGTGGAAGAAGCGCTTGCCTGGCAAGCGCGAGGGCCTGAGTTCACTCCCCGGTTATGCCAAAAACAAAACAAACCCTTCTACCCAGCAAACCATTCTCAAGAAGGTAAGGCGAAGGCAGGCGGCTCCCGGGTGAGCAACAGCCGCAGGCCTTCTACCAGAGGGCAAGCCACACACTGCTTGTGGAAAGAGACCTCGGCCCCTGGGTACCCGGCAAGAGCCTACCTCGAAAGTCAGCGCGCACAGAGAGCTGGGGATGCAGCTCGGGGGAAGGCCCTGGGTTCCCTCGCAGCCCAGAGGAAAAGGGAAAGAGCTCTGTGCAGACGAGCGCTGGAGAGGACGGGGCCCGAGTTACAACAGCACCTGTGGCAAATCGCATCCTGCCTGGCACTGGGTGGAAAGCTACGGTGTTTGCAGAGCTGCCAGCTCACGGTCACAGGCGCAGTGTCCCCGTGAGCCAGAGCCAGCAACAGCTGAGAGGCGGACGATACACAGTGAATTCAGCGAAGCTGCTCTTGACTCCGATTAGTGTGCCAATAACGCTCTCCACAGAAACCGGATGCAGAAAGCACACCAAGGAGAGGGAGCTGAAAAGGCGACAAACCTCACAGCCAAAAGCGAGTTCAGAAAACTGTGGGAGGAGGAATAAAAAGACCAGAAAGGCCTGCAGAAGGCAAAGAGCGAATGCCCGAAGTGCGACGCCCCCCGGTCACCCTTTAAAGGAAGGAAATCCGGCACTACTGAGGACATGGGAGGACCCTGAGACTTCCTGCTGAGAGTTACAGAACTGTGCGGTCCTCCTCGGGAAGCAACCAGAGGAGGCAGATTCCTGTCAACAGAAAGCAGCAAACAGCTGGCTGCGGCAGGAGGATCGCCAGGGCAAGCCCAGCCTTGGGCACTTAGGGTCGCATGGAGACCCTGTCTCAAATCAGGCACGGGGCACACGCCTATCACCCAGCGTTGGCGGCTGAGGCAGGAGGGTCGCCATGAATTTGGCCAGCCTGCACCACACAGCAGGGCCCCTCTTTCAGGGAGGGAGGAGGGCCCAGGCGCCCCGTGGCCTACCTTCCCTGCGAGCCTCGCGTTCCTTGCGCCGCTCCTCCGCCCTCCGCTCCCGCTCCTTCTGCTCCCGCTGCTCCTTCTGCTGCTCCCTCAGCTTGCGCTCGCGCTCCCGCTTCCTCTCCAGCTGCTCCAGGCGGTCCCTGGAAGAAGGGAGAACCGTTGTCGCCAGGGCGCCAGGCCGGGGCGCTCTCAGGGCGCACGCAGCCCCGGCAGCCCCGCAAGGGGGCGCCTCCTCGGGGCGGCTCGCGCAGTCCGCGGGGCTGGCAGGCCCACCGCCTGCTCCGCCCGGAGGCGCCCCCGGGCTAGCGCTCCCTCCCCGCAGCAAGCAGCTACACACACCAGGGAACCCACGCCCACGCAGCGTGACCCGTCCACAGGCCGGACAGAGCATGGCACTGCCCCATGCCGAGATGGGTCTGAACTGCAGCCAGCTAAGCGCGCGCGAGGCGCCACGCAAGAAGCAGACACCGCTGGGGAGCTGGGGAGCTGGGGAGCTGGGGAGGAGGACCGCAGGGAGTCCAGGGCACGCCTCAACTGCACACCGGACCGACTCATCACGCCAAACCAAAGCACACCCCAGTGAGACAGTGTGTGGCTGGTGCAAGCAGACAGGTGTGGGGGGGACAGAGCTCCGCCTCAGGGACGCCTGGGTACCTCCCTGCCCGCCTGAAGCAGTGTGGCCTCACACGGGCACGGGCCAGCTCCTGTGACAGAGCAGACCTACGAGGATAACCGTGTAGCTGGCGCACCCCAAAGCACCGCACATCCAGCCTGGGCCTGCAACTGCGCGGCACACCTCTCATCCTGGAGCCCGCGGAGCCTGCAAGGCCAGGGGTCGCCCTCACAGCAGGGCGCACGGGACACGCCAGCTGGGTCAAAGCACTGCGCTGATGCTGGGTACGCGCAGGCCTGGCCACGCATTCTGGGATTCTAGCGTCTCACACTACAGTTAGTTCTTTCCTTTCCTCTTATTTTATTTTGCGGAACCAGAGATTGAACTCAGGCCCTTGCACTTGCCAGGCAAGCGCTTATTCTACTGAGCTCTCTCGCGGCCCTTTTTCCTTGTATTTTATTTTATTTTATTTATTTATTTTTAATTTATGATTTATGATTTATTTGGTAACAGTCTATGTTCAGTAATTTCTGGAGATGCTTGTTATTGATTTGTAAGACCAGTCTTTCTATATAAGGTATATAGACCCTGGATGTTTCAATATATTTTTCCTACTTTTCCATCTGCATTTTGTTTCTTGACCAGAAATGGTATATGTAATGTACAGAAATGTATATGCAATCAAGGTCAGTTTTTCTTTTTATAATGTCTGTATCTGTTGGTTTTCCTTGTATTTTAAATACATACATTTAGCATCTTTTTTTTTTTTTTTTTGGTAGAACGGGGACTGAACTCAGGCCCTTGCGCTTGCCAGGGAAGCACTTATTCCACTGAGCCATCTCCCCGGCTCCTAGCATATCATTTTAATTCCTGTTACATATACTATTTGTTTATGCGTGCTATCTTTATTTTTGGTACCAGCAATTGAACTCTGGACCTCGCACTTGTGAGGCAGGCACCGTGCTGCTGAGTGTGCTATTTTGAAAAAGGTATTTTCTTAATGGTTGCTCTAGAAAGTGCAGTAGGCAAGGCCGGCCAGAGAGCTCAGCAGATTAGAGCGCCTGCTTAGGCAGACTCGGGGACCAGCCTTTGATCCCTGGCATGCCGTGCTGGCCCCGTCCCCGGGGCGCACCGAGACAGGTGCCACGCGCCTGTAATTCCAGCACTTGGGAGGCTGAAAACAGCAGGACCGCTACGAGTCCCATCTGTGTAGTGGGACCTCTGTAGATCCTGTACTAAATATATGTATATATTTTTGGCGGAACCGGAGATTGAACTCAGGCCCTTGCACTTATTCTACTGGCCTATCTCCCCCGCCCAGTAAATACCTTAAAAGTAAGAAGAAAAGAAAGTGCAATATGCCTCCGATAAGATTAATATGAAGAGGCCGGGACATGGCTCAGTGGAATAGACGCTTCCCTGGCAAGCTCAAGGGTCTGAGTTCAATCCTCCGATCTACCCACCCCCCAAAAAATAAAAAGATTAATATGAACTAGCCAGGTCGGCGGCACGTGCCCGTGACCTTAGCTACCCTGGAAACTGGGGCAAGAGAATTGCAAGTTTGGACTACTCAGCAAGAGTCTCAGAACAAAAAAACATGGGAATGTAGCCTGGAGTTCCAGCTCCAGTACTGCAAAAGGAACAAAACACCAAAGCACAGCAACCGCCTCACAATCCAGTTCCCAGTCTCCTGGTCCCTGCTGGCCATCTGTATACGTTTCACCCTGCAAAGGCACAAAGCTGCAGACGCCGGACCTGCCCCGGCCACCTCAGCCTATCTCCTCCCTCCCCGTAGCTCCTGCAGCCTCCGGAGATCACTTCCACTCGGCCTGTCTTTCACTACTTCTTCCAAGACAGGTTTGCTAGCAACGCGTCTCATGAATCTCTGTTCGCTGGAAACCACTCTGTCTCCCTTCACAGTTACAGAAGAGCTGCCTTCCCAGCTGAGCCTCAGCACCAGCTGGCCGGCGCCATGCCAGGGCCTCCGCCAAGCCGGTCCGTGCGCAGAGCAGCTCCCTGGCTGCAGGGACTCCAGTCCCTTGCTAAGGGCCACCTGGCTACTGGCAAATGTAAATATATGGCTGCTGCCATCAAATCAGGGAGGCTTTCAGCCTGTCTGCAAAGGTATTTTTTCTGTTCTCTCTGGGGGCCCTGGCCACCCACAGGCTGGTGTGCTCGGCACAGCACAGCACAGAGCTCCAGCTGCGAGATGTCAGGCCCTCCCCGCAGCATCCCTGGAACTGGCACGGCCACTCACTCGTCTGGTGCACAGACCCACCAGGGCTGCCGCTTCCCATGGGCACAGCCTGCAGAGCAGTGACATCACTGATGGCAGCAGGGGCAGAAGGGAGCTGTGGTAGGTTGAGAAGGGCTGGGCAACCAGGATGCACGGCCTCTTCCTGCTGAGCTCCCACGGTTTCCCAAGCACAAACCTAGCTGAGTATCGATCTCTCTGCCGTCACAGATGCTTTTTCAGAAGCCTGGGCCGTACTCGCCTCCACCTCTGCCCCGCTTTCGGCTTTGCACTCCAGGTGCTCCAGGAGAGCCGACTTCACCCACCACCCTCTGCTCCCAAGCACCCCACAGGACAGGAGCACTTGGCCTAGCAGCACACACTAACGTGACCCTCAGGTTCCCTGCTGGCCTGGGCCCATGAACTGGTTCTCAGTGGCTTCCTTCTGCCCCTCAGCAAGGGCCCCAGCACTAGGAATTGACAGATGCTCCGCCCTGCTGCCAACAGCCAATATCTGAAGCCTCCATTCGACACCCCCCAGCAGGCCGACTACCCATCTTTCCGGGATATGACCCCCAACGGAAGGGAACCACGCACAGGAGCATGGGCTACAGATCACAGAACTGGACTAAACCCGCACCCTTCCGGCATGTCCGAGCTGAACAAGGACCCAGGGTGCTGTCTTTGCTCTCAGACCGTTCTCCCATCTAAGTACTAACCGGGCCCGAGCCTGCTCAGCTTCCGAGATCAGACAAGATCGCGCGCGTGCAGGGTGGTATGACTCCCAGACCATTGCAAGGCCTTGGCAGTCTCATATGTTACTGATCTCTGTTTTTGTTTGAAAGAACTGGAGCCTATTTCTGATGCGACCCAGAGAACCTAAAATAGCGCATTTCCTTGGGTACCGGAGAGGTATAAATTCATCAAACACAAACCACCTGCAGCACTGGCTCCGTGTCAGGATTCACATGTGTGGCCTTGGCTGACTCGGGAAGACCTGATTCTACCATGACTTGAAAACAACCCGCCTCTGGCCACACACGGCCCTCATGGCCCCCCTAGGGTGTTGCGCCACCCCTCAGGACACTGTAGGTCCCAAGGTTCAGAGATCATCCAACTCTCTCCTAGGCCTGTCCCCACTCCTGGCCTCCACCCCCTCCCTGCCTGGATCTTTCCCCGTGTCCTGGCCTGCTAACTCCTGCCCGCGACCCCTCACACTGAGTGTAGACCCTCTTTTGGCTCCTCTAGTGGGCAGGCACTGACAGAGACCTCAGCCCTCTGTTACCTTCACCGTCATTCACACTCACCGATCTGCCACATGGAGTAAAACACTTAGGCTCTGAGATGACTCCTGTAACAGCACCCAGTGCCCACTGTCTCCAACTCCTCCATCCGCTTTCGCACCAAGCCTGCACTGTCACATTAATTCCTTTCTCCTACCCCCCCCCCCTGACACGACAAAGGCACGGATGCTCCTCAGCGGGCCTGGCCTCACCGCTCTCTCCTGGAGTGCTCCCTCGCCATCTCCCGCCGCTTCTGTCTCTCCCACTCTCGGCGGGCTTTGTCTTGCTCCTCTCGGTGGCGCTTCCGACGTTCGTGTTCCCTTTCCTTCTCTTTCACTCTGGCATGCTTCCCTGAGGAGCGGTAACAAGGGTCATACAACGAGGCCTCACTTCAATAAGCTTAACAGCAAGCAGAAAAGACTTTCATGGCGACTTAAGAAAAACAGGACCTTCTCTCGGGTAGCTTAACGTGTAACGCATTTATCAACCTCTTGGTTTGAAACAACGCACTATAGAACACTTCTGCTAACGCTTCACAAAAGTAAATAAATGAAACGGAACCGCTTCACATATTCCACTTGATGTCAGCCATAGTCCCCAGGGAGCCACAGCAACAGCTATTACGTGGCAAGCTTTCCAGAGAGCCTGCACTTGAAAAGCTTGGACTATTAGATGAATTTGTAGATGCAAATTTTCCTCCTAGTTCACTTGTATCAACAGCTAAATTAGGAACCTAATTTTCTCACTGGTGGATGATAAATGAGAATATTCTTTTTCATGTTTGATTCTTAATAGTCTTAAGTCAATCAAATTTTTAAAAAAGATATAGAACTATATGAAACTACAATTATGAAAACATTGTGGTCATCGCTAAACAGAATTGTATTTTCATCTTTTTAATTACCTATTCTAAAAAAAAAAAAAATTATTCTGCATTTTTTCTTTTTTTTGGTACCAGGGATCCAACTCAGGACCTTGCGCTGGCCAAGTAGGGGCTTATGCCACTGAGCTGTGCTACCTTCCCGCCTAATTATCTATTCTGAATACAAGACAATATATTACTTTTAAAGCTGATGAAAACAATCAGTCCGGGGCCAGGCAGATAGCTCAGCGGAGTAAAGCTCCTGCTTAGGCGGATGCTGGGGCAGGGGGTTCAATCCCAGGCCTGCCCTGCCCTCCAGCGATTGAGATTGGGCATGGTGGTGGCAGGCACCTGTCCCAGTGCTTGGGAGGCTGAAAAACAGGAAGGATCACTATAAGTCCGATCTGTGTAGTGAGACCCTGTATGCCCTATACAAAAATTAATAAATAAATAAAATTTTTTAAAAATAAAAATGTAAGAAGAGCTGGAGATATAGCTTATTGTGACCCTGCGTTCAAATTCTAGTTCTATGCAAAAACAGAGAATAAAACCAACAGAAAGCTAGTCAAGGTACACACCTGTAATCCCACCACTTGGGGCTGGGAGTACAGGCCTGAGTTCCAGGCCAGCCTGGGCTAAAAAGTGAGCTTAAGGCCTGGCTGAAATATATAGCGAGACTCTACCTCAAAAAAAACAAAACCAAAGGGCCAGCCTGATAGCTCAGCAGACTAAAGTGCTTGCTTAGGCAGAGCACAGCGGCAAGGGTTCAATCCCTGGCGTGCCTGGCATGCCTGCCAGCCCTGCCCCCGGGTGCACTGAGATGGAGATTGAGACTGGGCGTGGTGGCACACTGCTGTAGTCCCAGCACCTGGGAGGTTGAAAAACAGGAGGATCCCTACAAGTCCGATCTACATAGTGAGATCCTGTATCCCCTGTACTAAACGCAAAACAAAACAACAACAAAAAAAGCTATTTAATTAACCAACTGCATTTATAATAAGAGATTTAAACCAGGCCCCAGAGAGAGTTTTCCCACTACCAATAAGAACCTTTAGTTTTTAAGTTAATTATTCCCCCTGCAGCACTTTTTATTTTCAGACAGTCTAAGTTGCCCAGCTTGGGCTTAAACTTAGGATCCTCCGGCTTCAGTCTCACAGTACTGAGACTGTACGTGTTCGGCTCCATGCCTGGCTCTTAAGAACCTCCTGTACTGGCGAGCAAACAAACCTCTAATCACCCAAAGTCATTAAGTGGGACTTGACAAAACACCCATTTTTGGTGGGACCTTTTTTCCCTACACAATTATGGGGGGTTGAAGGCAGACAAACTACTCTAAGCAGTACAGGAGAAAAGCAAAGTAACAGTTATCTCAAATGACCTACAATAAACCACGGTCTGGGCTACACTGTATTTATTCTCTTAACCATGCTCTGGAGAAGGGTGATCACAAAGCCTGCTTTACCCCCTTCTGCCGAGTGGCTCCGATGCCTACGCTTTTCTTTTCTCTTTTCATCCTTCCTGTGATGGGCCTTTTCTTTCCGGGACATTTGCTGGGGTGGTTTGATAGCCAGAGAATCATCTTCCTCGCCTCTGAAATAAAATGAACACATCTCATCACCCTGGAGAAATGCAGAGAAACTAGATATCACTGACTTTCTCCAGCCTAGAAAACAACACGACTCACCATGAAATAGAGGTGGACCCGAGCCATCATCTCAAAAGATTTGTTAAAAGAAAAGCAAGCAAAAAATGAGTAACGAAAACCAAACAAACAAATCCAAAAAGTTACGTTAATTCTACAATATAAGCCACTTTAACACTCAGAAGAAAAGTGGAAGAATCAGTATGATATGTGGAATAAAACTATGGTTTGAAGGGAGGAGGGACACGTCCAGTACCTTCATCACGGTGATGGAATTCTTGGCATGTAAACATGTATCAAACTGTGTAGCTTTAATATATGCAGTGGATTTTATAAGTCAATAAATGTTTAAAAGGGTCCCAAAATTGTATCAACCTATGTAATGATTTAAAAAATCCATTTGGGCTGGCGAGATAGCTCAGCGGTCTAAAGCGCCTGCCTAGGCGGGCTCAGCAAGCACACAAGGCCACAGTTCCATCCCTGGCACCACATGCCATGCCAGCCCCACCCGCAGGATTGGCTGAGCTGGCAAAAAAGTAAATAAAAGACACACAGACTGATCAAAGATGAGACAGAACTCTGGAGACACAGAAGAGCACTTGGCTCTTAGCATAAATGTTGCTGGTCACAGCGGCCCCTTCCAGTACTCTCTTCTCTCTTAGGCTTGCAACACAGCGTGAAGTTATCTAAGGGGCCTAACTTGATCGGGGAATCATCAGAAAGCAGGGAATACCTGGCATGCGCAAGGGCCTGAGTTCAATCCCTGGTTCCACACGCACACACACACACACACCGGCCTAAAAAAACGGAGAGCGGGGCCGGGGAGATGGCTCAGTAGGATAAGCGCTTCCCTGGCAAGTGCAAGGGCATGAGTTCGATCCCCGGTTCCAGAAAAAAAAAAAAAAAAAAAAAGGAGAAAGCAGAGAATATATAACCTTGTACAGTCTTTTCATGAGAAGAGAGCTGGAGTGACAACTGATGGCAAAGACGACCTTCAATGGTCAGGCAAACCTGGCGTCAAAATGCCCACTGCAAAGGCCCGCCAGGCCCTGGGCTGGGCAGGGTGCTGCTCAGTCTGCCTGCGCGACCTTCTCTTCACTGCCTTGCCTATTTCCTCACCTGTCTTCCATGCAGTCCTCTCTCCTGTACGGTGAGTTCCTGATTGTGATCTCCATGCGGTGATCTCTCAGCTCCCCCTCCTCAAGGGAATCCCGCTTGGAATCCCGGTCATCAGACTAGAAAGCAAACATAAAGTGTGTCATTTTCCTTACAGACAAGACAGATTTTTAAATGAAAACCAAACTCGGCTGACAACCCAAAACAAACTCTGAACAAGCAAATGTTACAAAATATAAAAAATTTTATTCGGATCTCATGACATTAAAATTATAAGTGTGTAACTCAAAATCAGATGGAAAGTTTCATGCCAGGATTTACAAGGGACACCAGACTTATGCTCATTATGCTAGCCGCTATGGGGAAAATCTGAGGCTTAAGCCATACGCACGAAATACTTTCCGGTGTCCCGCGATACTGATAAACACCTCAAAAGTGATCTGTTCCTAACTTTCCGAATTACTCATGCTACATCATTTTCACCAATTACTAAAAAACTTTTATGAGTATGCTACTACAGAAACCAAGACAGATAACTCATTAATTTCTTATTTCATCAATATTAACTTTAAGGCAAGTTTCCACTATGTTAATAGTACTTAGAAATATATGCTAAAGATGCTACTAATGAGATGAGAAAAATTAGTCAACTCGTACTAACGATTCTATGTTCACGGCATTTTATTCTCCAGGCAGACAGTCTCACCTAGACACAGTGTCAAGGTGTTACCGATCTGCCTTCAATGTAAGCTGAGTGTGTGAGTGTCTTTGTTAATTTTTAGAACAGATTTTGGGCTCACCTGAGACATTTGGAAGTACAAAAGAACTTCACCGAAGAAGCGTTGTTCTAATGGAAAAACGAGGGCAAAGAAATTAAATCTCCTTTAAGAAAACCACTTACTTAAAAACACAGCTTACATTTTTTAAGCGTTTTATCTCTGCTTTCTCCTCTTGTTCCTTCCTTCGTTTCTTTTCCTGGAGAATTTCATCTAAAGTTTTCACTTTCCAAGAGTCCTTTTCATCACCCATTTGAGTTAAAACACTGCAAAAAGAAAAATAATTCAAGCACCTTCGGGACACACCAGGCTGTGGAGGACGCTCCGTTGTTTCTGGACACTTAACCCTGGCCTCTCTGGAGTGTTTCCGAGTAAGGCCTCAGAAGAAGGGCGGGCTCTGGGGCGTGACCGCAGGATCTACCTCATCAGCTTCCCGTCACTTTAGCAAGGTCTTGGGCAAGTCTGTGCGCCTCAGTACACTCTTCCACGAAGGAGGGTAACACCCAGCTAACGGTCCAGTAAAAAACCCCAAACGAGGGATCCGGCAGACCCCGCGGGCCACTGTTCCCTGGACAGGGGCAGCCTGCGTAACGGGACCCGGAGATCTCGGGGCGGGGAGAAGGGACGCCGGCGAACAAGGCTACCTGACGCGGGCGCGGGGCTCCTACTTCTTGGGTTCAGTCACACAAACGTGGAGCTCAGCACGGCAGGGGTTGGCTCCCGGGACGCCTGGGCCCGCCACCTCCTCCACCCGAAGCTCTGCGCAGGGCGAGACTGTACGGCGGAGCTGGGGCGCCGCCCGCCCGCACCCACGCCCGCCCGGCCTCAGGCCAACTCGGACCCGAGCCCTCGGTGCCGCCTTGGCCCGGAGCTCCCCGGCAGGCCGCCCGAGCGCCACTCACCCCTGCGCCGCCGCCGCCGCCGCCGCCGCCGCCGCCGCCGACACCGCCGCCGCCGCCGGTCCGCAAGCCCGAGAAGAAGCAGCGCCCGGCGCGCGCAGGAGCGTCTGGCACTTCCTGCGGCGACGCGGACTGATGACGCCCAACGCGCACGGTGGGGAGCTCCACTCTGGGACTGGAAGCTCCCGCTCCGGCTCGCCCCTGGGGACGTCACTTCCGGAAGCGGAGCACATTGATGACGCAAAAGGAGGAAGGGGCGGGGCTTCAATCCGCTGTGGGAGAAACCGCGGTGCCGGCCCTCAGAGCGTCGTGGGCTCCAGGAGGGAGGCCTGTGGCTCGGTAGCGCTGGGAGCGAGGCCTCCGACCCAAGACTACTATGGGAGCGTCTGGCGACTCTTACGACCTGTGACACGGAGCCCAGCGAATGTCGTTTCCGGGGCCCAGCACGGAAGCCCGCGGCCGCCGGGACAGGCCGACTCGTCCTCCGGGGCCGCGACCCGCCCGAGTCCGACGGCCCGGCCCGGTCCCCAGGCTCCCGCGCGTGCCCCCGCGGGCGGCTGCCTCCAGAGCCCCGGCGCGCTCGTGAGCCCCACGCGTGCCCGTTGAGCTCTGCGTCTCCGCGCGGAGCGAGGAACACGGGCCTCTTGCAGCCCCACCTGGTCCTGCGTGTTGGGGTCCGCAGCCCTTCCCAGTGGTCGGAGCCTGCGCTCGGCCCGCGCACCGGACCGCGCAGACGCGTTCGTGCCCGAGTCCCCAGCCCCCAGTGGCAGCGAAGGTGTTTGTCTGCCTCTGAACACTTGAGAGCGAGACGCCAGGCATTCGTACCTAGCGCGGTGAAGCCCCCTCTGCCCCGACCTGTGCCAGGAAAGGGACCTTGAAGCTTTGCACTGTTGCAGCTTCCCCGAACTCGGTGTCTGTGCAACGAGCCTCGGGCGGCCAGTGGCTCTTTAGCGCTTCACCTTCCTTCCGACCTTAGAGTCGGAAAGCGATCCGGACTGTGAGCCTTGTCGTTGTGTCTGACCTAAACAAGCAAGGCAGGCGGAGCCGTACGGTGTGCTTTTAAAACATACTTTGGTTCCCCAAACACCCACTGAACCCCATCAGAGACTGATGAAAGAGTCCTGTAGCACCACTCTGAAGCCCCAGAATTAACACACACGCATACACACACCTGATCAAATGACATTCCTGAGTGCGGGGGAGATGGATGGCTCAGTAGAATATGCGCTTCGCTGGCATGCGCAAGGGCCTGACTTCGTTCCCCGGTTCCGCCAAAAAAGAAAAAGAAATTCCTCTTCCACATGTATATGTCAAGTTATCCTGTGGATTTTTTTTTTTTTTAAACAGCAAAACTAGCAGGGGCAAGGTGGCCCGTTGTCTGTGATCCCAACACTTGGCAGGCTGAGGCAGGAGGCTAACTCCAAGTCTGAGCTAGCCTGGGCTAGACAGTGAACTCAAGATGAGCCTTATCTATGTAGCAGGTCTTTGTCTTTAAGAAAGAAAAAAAAAAGAAAGCAAAATAATTGGACATCAGGAGTCCCTTGGGAGACTGTGGAGAGCAAGCATGTCTGCACACTGCCTGTGCCTGGATGGCTCAGCAGCACCGGCTCCTGCCTGGCAAGCACGAGGTCCTGAGTCGGATCCCCAGAACCCAAAAAACAGAACACGGTGGCCTGAGTCTGGAATCTAGCTACTCAGAAGGCTGAGACAGGAATACTGCAAATTCGTGGCCAGTCTTTACAACCTTGTGAGATCTTGTCTCAGAAAACAGGAACTGAGGATAGTGACCAGGTGTAGTGAGGAGGGCTTGTAATCCCTGATTTTGGGAGGCCAAGGCAGCAGGGTCACTGTGAGTTTGAAGCCAGCCTGAGCCATAAAGTGAGTTCAGTTGAAGTATAGCAAAACTCTGTCTCAAAATAGACCAAAAAAAGAAAAAAAAAAAAGTTTCAGGCAAGTTTCTTGCTAAATTTATTTTTTTTTTTGAAGGTAGGATCTCATGTAGATCAGGCTGGCCTTGAGGTCATTATGCATCTCAGGCTGGCTGAGCTCACTTTGTAGCCTGTGCTAGTCTTCAACTGCAGTGATCCTCCTGCCTCAGCATCCGGTGTGCTGGGATTACAGGGGTGTACCACCAAGCCCATAACAATTTTAAAGAAAGTAGAGTTTTCTTAGTGTCCAAGGTGGTAATTTTTGTCACACTTGTTCCTCATACAAACTTTTGGCTTAGCCTTCTCTTTTTCCTTTTTTTTTTTTTTAAATGCATTTAGTACAGGGTCTATGGGGTCTCACTACACAGATTGAACTCATAGTGATCCACCTGGTTTTGCCTCCCAAACACCAGGATTACAGGCACAAGCCTCTGCCCCCAGTCTCATTCCTCATCTCAGCAAGCTCTGTGGGTGGGGCTGGCACAGCACACCAGAGATCAGACCCTTGTCCCTGCTCATGCCTAAGCAGGTACTTTAGTCTGTTGAGCTATCTGGCCTGCCCAGCCTGCTGTTTTTCTAGAAGTTTGAGGTTCAGTTTTGTTTTTTTTTTTCCTTCTTTGTTTCTCCTTTTGGATACAGGGTCTCACTACCCAGTTCAGAGTCATAGTGATCCTCCTGTCTCAACCTCTCCAGTACTGGGATTACAGGGGTGTGCCACCGACAGTTCCGGGTGGCATGGCATGCAGTACAGCCAGGGGCCAAAGTCCAGCCCTTGTGCTTGCCAGGAAGGTGCTTAGACCGCTGAGCTCTCTCCCCAGCCCAAGGTTCACTGTGGTTTATTTGTGCTTGCTCTGTGTTCCCGATATGGGTGTTCATGCTTTTAGCTTCCCTCTTAGGACTGCTTTCATTGCATCTCCTAAGTTCCAGGTATATTGCTGTCATCATTTCATTGTAGAAACTGCCTAATTCCTTCGTTCATTCTGTCTGTGCCCCACTGGTGGTTCAGGAGGGTGCTATTTAATTGTGATGTGTTGGTGCAGCTCTTGTGGTTTCTTTGGCCATTGATATCCACTTGCATTGCACCATGGTCTGATAGTACGCATGGGACAATTTCAGTTCGTTTGCATTTACCTAAGCATGTTCGATGAGCTAGCATGTGGTCCGTTCTGGAGAACGTCCTGTGTGCTGCTGAGAAGAATGCGTATTTTGATGTTGTGCAGTGGAATACTTTGTAGACATCTACTAAGTCCATTTGTGCAAAAGTTTAGTTCTGGGGCCGGCCACATAGCTCGGCCGACTAAAGTGCCTGCTTAGGCAGACTACAGTGACCAGGGTTTGGTCCCTGGCATGCTGTGCTGGTCCCACCCCCGGGGCGTGCTGAGACAGTGAAAGAAACTGGGCATAGTGGCACATACCTGTAATGCCAGCATTTGGGAGGCTGAAAACGGGAATCACTGTGAGTCCGATCTGTGCGGTGAGACCCAGTAGACTCCTACTAAATATATAAAAAAAATGGGGCCAGGGAGATAGCTCAGTAGAGTAAGTGCCTGCCTGGTAAGCACAAGGGCCTGAATTCAATCCCCGGTTCCGCAAAACAACAACAACAAAAAGTGTAATAGATATTGTAAAATTAGAAAAAAAGGGGCCAGGGAGATGCCTCAGTAGAATAAGTGCTTCCCTGGCAAGCGCAGAGGTGCCTGAGTTCAATCCCCGGTTCTGCAAAATAAATTAAATTAGGAAAAGAACCTTCAAAGATACTTGTGTGCTAATATTGTTTGGATTACTAAATGATAATACTTTGTACTCTGAGTTACTAAAGACAACAATACACAATGTATTAACCATTGTTTATTGTGCTATAAGCATCGTCTTAGTTTTTTTTTATAATTATATTTTTTAAACATTTATTTATTTATTTTATGTGTGTGTGTGGCCAGCTCAGCCCACCAGGGGGTGGTGCTGGCTGGCATGTGGTGCTGGGGGATTGAACCGCGGTCCCTGTGCTTTGCCAAGCTTATTCCAAGTAGGTGCTTTAGACCACTGAGCCATCTCGCCAGCCCCAAGCATCGTCTTAGTTTGAATATTTACATTTATATTTTATTTATTTATTTGGTACTGGGAATCGAACTCTGACCTTGCACTTCTCAGACAGGCACTTGTGCTGATGAGCTACATTCCTAGTTCTTCAAAAAATTTTTTCTGTAAAATTAAAAGAGAGGACCTGGGGAGATAGCTCAGTAGGATAATCGCTTGCCTGGCAAACACAGGGTCCTGAGTTCAATCCCCAGGATCAGAAAAAAAGAATAAATAAATTAAAAGAAGACAGTCTCAATCGCCATCTCAGCGGGCCCCAGGAGCAGGGCTGACAGGGCAGGCCCAGGGATCGAACCCCTAGCCACTGTGTCTGCATAATTAAGGGCTTTATTTATTTATTTTTTTTGCGGTATCTGGGATTGAACTCAGGACCCTGTGCTTGCCAGGCAAGCACTTACTCTACTGAGCTATCTCCCCAGCTGTAATTAGGGACTTTAATCAGTGAGCTATCTGGCCAGCCCTGAATACATAAAATTAAAAGAAAAAGAAAGTAGGCTGGGGGCCTAGTTCAGTGTGAAGGCCAACTTGACTTCCCACTACTGCGGTAAATACAGAACTAGAAAAGGCTGGAGATGTTCAAGCTGGAACGGCAGCCCATAGTTGTAATGCCAGCACTCAGGAGGCTGAGGCAGGAGGGCATCAGGGTCATTACGAGATTGAGGGCAGTCTGGACCATATTGTGAGACCCTGCCCCTGCCCCACCCCCACCCCACGCACGCACGCACACACGCAGACACGCAGACGCAAAAACACCCAGAACCCTGGAGATGTAGCTCAGTGGTAGAGTGCCCATGGGTTCAAGCCCAACTGCCCCTTTCCCCCAAACACACACAAAGACTAAAGTGGGCAGGATGAGGGACCGGAAGTCTTCCCCTCAGAAGGAATGCTTACCTTTCATGCCTGGCTCTAGTTTTCTCTCCTAAACCTGCAGTGACTTGGGGAAGCTTTGATCAACCCCTACTTCACAGTGCAAACTGTTGAAGGCAGTAATAAACCCACCTCAGTCCGGTCAGTACCATAAATGCAAGAGTACTGCAAAAATGAAAAGAGAACACGTGCAGCATTTACGAGAGCCCCTGACAGCTGCTTCTATGGCTGTTTAAACAAATAACCAGGACGCATACTCAGGATTAATGACACAGTAGAAATTTACTACCACGGTACAAATAACAGAAGCTTTTGCTAGGAAGCATTAATCTATTTACATCAATACCAGAACAACTGACATACAAAGTACTACAAACGTTGTGATGTGTTCTTAGTTCTCCACAGGTTTGATATAACGCAGTTACGAGTTGGCTCTGATGCAGATTTGATGTTTCGGTAAGACGTCTCAAGCCTTCCAAGGTAGGAATGGAACCACGACTGTGGCCCCTGAAACTGGCAGCTATACACCTCTTGAGCAGAAGCAGACTCACAAATCAGTCTGCAAACAACCCAGAAATTCCAAATAAGTGGAATGCCTTTTTCCAGATATGAAAACTTAAAAACAAAACAAAAAGAACAAAGAAGACTTGGCAAGTTGGAACAATTCCAGATGGAATTTGGACATCTGACGAACGGAGCAAGTCTAGCAGCAAATTCAAAATCACACAGCCCAGGAAACCTGGATGAGCTACTTGAACCTGGAAAGTTAGTTTCCCGCTGCAGACTGGAGGGGGAGCAGCCAAGCCTCGCTGAGGGCCTCAGCCAGTGCTCGCTTTGTCGAGGAGAGAACAACGCAGCCGAATTCATCAGGGGAGTAGGGACATTGCCATTTAGGAGGCAGTGCCATGTGCTGGCAAAACAGCTGGCTGGTGGTGAATGAATGTAACTCCAGCACTCGGGAGGATCGCTACAAGTTCAAGAGCATCCTGGGCTGCAAAGTGAGCTCAGCGCATAGCGAGAGCCTTGTCTCAAACAGACACACAAGCACACGCGCAAGCAAAATGTCCGGCAAGCCAGGAGTGGCAGCAAAAGCTTATAACCCTAGCACTGGGGTGGCTGAAGCACGAAGAGGAATCTGGAAATGTAGTAAGACCCAGTCTCAAAAGGCAAAAAGCGAGGGATGGAGCTCAGTGAAAGGGCCTGGAGTTCACTCGCTGGTACTGGTTTTAAAAAAAAGAATGCAATGTAGCAAGTGGTAGCTTCCTCACCTGGCATGCAGGAGCCACTGGCTTTGGTCCCCAGCACCGTGGAAAAGAAGGACAAGAAAATGAAGCGGTTCCAGCCAGGCCAGGTACAGCGGAAGACGCTTAAAGCCCCGCATAGAACGCTGGTCAAAGACAAGTCGGAGACGATTTCTAGCTGCAGTCCCGTCCTTGTTAACTTTTTCCCACCCAGAGAAATGGTCCAAATATGTTCAGGCTTTAGGAGACTGTGGCTTGCATGGTTACCTACTACCTGTCCTGGCCCAGGTAAGTGACCATCAGAAAAGCAGGAAGTTAAAGCCACCGATTTGGTGACAGATTGTTTTGCATTTTATGTATTTGGCACGGGTCTCACTACGCGGCGCAGACTCGTAGTGATCCTCCTGTTTTCAGCCTCCCCAGCGCTGGGATTACAGGAGTGCGCCCCTGTGCCCAGACTTGTCGCCAAGGCTCGCTTGCTGGCTCCTGGCGCGCTGGGGCCCGGGCCGGCGGGGCATGCGGGACGAGGGATGGAACCCGGGTCCCTGCGCTTAGCCTGCTGAGCTATCTCACCAGCCCTTGCGAGATCTTAAGGCAAGCTACAAAGCAGAGCTCTATTTGGTTGCTGTTTTTTTGTATAGCTTTAAAAAAAATTGTCTCTGTTCACTGTTTATTTATCTCGAATTAAAGACACATTTTGGATGGTGCAAGAGAATTCGAATGTCCCCGACAGCCAGATTATTTTCATGTTGATATAACAGAAATCTTTAAAGGTTCTTATGCTGCTCAGGGGGAGGGTTTCGTTTTGATTTTCAGTGCTGGGGATGGAGCCTCGGCTTGCGAGCGCTCTGCCGCTGTCTTCCAGCTGGGGGCCGGGGACTGAAATTAGGACTCTGTTCAACTCCAAGCAGCGGGTGCAAGGAAGCAGACGCCTGGGCCAGCGGGCTTTCACATGAGCTGTGTCCAAAGCACAGACAGGCACAGGACACAGCAGAACCGACCCGGTGTAGGCAACGACGCCCAGAGTGAGCTTTGTACATAACATCTGCAGTCTCACTGAGGACAACGCTATAAAAGGAGACCGTTAGTGCAATGTGCCGGGTCTGCACTCGTGAGGCATGACCAAGCCTGGCCGGGTTGGATGTCAGCTGACCTGGGCCACCTGCAGAGCGAGGCTGGGCTGGCGTCTGAGGTGTGCACTTTGGCCACGGGGAAGGAAGAGGTGGTGCTGGCCACGCACAGGCTCGTGGTCTGTCTGCCTGGGACAAGAGCAAGGCTCACAGTGAGTTTGGTGGGAAATGACCTCTGCTGTTACTCCTTTTGCAAAATCTTTGTTTCTGGTCCCCACATTCAGAAAATCCTAACAGGCTTCCAGCAAACCGCGAGGCCGGAGGGGAGGGAGCGTCCCATGGGCTGCTTCCTGTTCCACGGAGAGGCAGAAATCCCAAAGAATACCCGGAAGCCCAGCCACAGCCCGGCTGTGAGGCTGGGGCCAGGACGGCTCCACGCCCTTTGTCCTCTGCCAGCAGCAGAGTGGCCACACTCTTGCCACAGGACAGGGCCACCGCCCTACCACTCCACTGCGTTTTCTTTAGTTTCAGGCAGCAGGGAAGGAGGAGAAGAAACCTGGATGATGTTGCAGGAGAGGAGCGCTCCGTGCTGGTGTCCAGCTGGTGCGGTCACACAGCGCCCACGTGGCCCCAGGAGGGCCTCGGAAGGCGGCTCGCAGCTACACAGCCTGCTGCAGCCCACTGAAGTGGCAGGCTTTTCCACAGGGAGGAATCTAATGAGGGACTTACTGCTCTTGGCTTCTGGGAGATTCTGTCTCCAGGATGGACTATTTATTTTCCAAGTGAGACGCCAACAGGAAAACCAGTGAGGCAAGGATGGCTGCTGCAGTGCTAGCATGGGGACAGGGGACAGACATGGCCCAGCGCGCCAGGGCTGAGGCTCGCGAAGGGCAGCAAGGGGCGGCCGTGCACCAGCGGCACGGTCCCCCAGCGCAGGGCAGACTGGACTCACGCAGATGGTGGCCCAGCTGACATACCGAAGGCTCAGAGGCCTTCTGTATAGGTGCGCGCTTCATTAAAATGTAGTGTCACTTTCAGGGTCGCGTGAAGGGTGGTGGTGCACGCCTGGCATCCCAGCACTCGGGAGGCTGAGGCAGGAGGATCACTTGGAGTTCAAGGGCAGTCTGAACTATGCAGTGAGTTCAGGGGGCAGCCTGCACTGTATAGTGAGACCCTGTCTCATAAACAGGACCGGACGGGGTTTAGCTCACTGATGCAGCGCCTGCCTGGCAAGGGTGAAGTCCTGAGTTCCATTCCTGGTATAAAAGACAAAACACTTTTAGTCTATCACCTGCAAGACGCTCAGCAGATGGGCTGCCTGCAGGGCATGGGCTGAGGTGAGCCCGGCTCCCCCTCTGGTGTCCCCACAGGAACAGAATGGCAGAGATTTATCATCACCCAGCGGGTAGGGCTTGCCACTGGTGAGGGACAGGCCGCAGGCAGGTGGGGGCTCAGCGCAGGCCAGGGAAGGGACAGTGGGGTTCCCTTCGAGGGACAGCTGTCACACCTGAGCCCTCCTGTGTCACTGGGATCGGGCACAGTTCTAGGGCAGGAGGGAACCGAGTCCCACCCTCAGTGCAGCGGCCCTGGCTCCCAGCAAGTCTGCTGTGCCAGGCCATAGGCACGGGAGCCCTCTGCCCCCGTGGGACCACAGGGCGACACTGGGCTGGACTCCAGGCTGTGGCTTGGACGCCTGTGCTAGCTGGTGTGGGATCTCACTAGCTCGCGGCAGGCACCATCCAGGGACACCACGCCCCTGCTGGGGGCTCCAGACAGGGAGGCAGTCGCTCCTGCTCAGGGCGGCCACGGCCCAGCTCAGTGGTGTGGCCTGGGGTCTTGGGGGACCAACGGCTCCGCACCGTCCTCTGGGGCTCCGCTGGTGACCGTGGCCAGGCTCTGCATGGCCTCCTGCTGGCGCTGCCGGGCCTTGGTGTAGAGCAGGACGCCCACCGTCACCAGGACGGTGCCCACCGCAGACAGGCTGGTGATCTTGTTGCCAAAAACGATGATACTGAGCCAGATGGACAGGGCGTGCTTCACGGTGCTGGCGACACTGCAGACAGGTGGGGGCAGGGTGACTGGGAGGGGCAGTGCAGGGCAGAAGGGCAGAGGGAAGTGGAAGGGTGGGGTGGGGAGGGGTGAGGATGGAGGGCGGCAGAGAGGTGGGGCAGGGAGGAGGGCCCGCGGGGGCGGGGCGGGCTCGGAGAGGACCCCTTCTCCGGCTCTCCCCTCTCAGGGATGCTTTTTGTCATGCAAACGCAGGCAGAGAAACCCTGTAACCGGCAGCCCAGGGCCCTCCTCCCTTTGGACTCAACGTAAAGTACGCATGGTGCAACACTGGCCCCTAAATATGTCACTTGGCCTCCTCTCCAAAAACTGCAAGTCCCTAAGAAGAAACAATCCCAGCCAGGTGGGGTGGCCCACGCCTGTCATCCCCCTACTCTGGGAGGCTGAGTCAGGAAGCTCACGATGAACTCAAGGCCAACCTGGGCTATCTGCTGAGCTGGAGGCCACCCTCAACTACATACTGAGACCCTGTCTCAAGAAAACTAAAAAAGTACCAGACACGGCAAGGGATTCAGTTCAGTGGCGCAGCACCCGCCTGCCGAGCGTGAGGTCCTGAGTTCAACTCCCGGTACCCCACCAAAAAAGCGGCAAGGGTCAGAGTGTGGCCCACCGCAGCACGACTGGTCACCCACACTTCCCATCTCAGGGTCAGGGGCCAGCAAGCGCCCCAGGGCCACGTGGAAGTGAGAGACAAGGTCGGGATTCGAGATGGCCGACACCGCCCTGCAGCACTGCACCGCGGACCGGCCGCCGGGAGACAGCTCAGCGCTCCAAGGTGCCTGCGCCGAGCCGGCCGCCGCGTCCGGGTGCGGTGGCACGTGCCTGCAACGGCAGCACTGGGGAGGCTAAAGACAGGAGGCTCGCTGATCCCTACGCGTCTGAGCTGCGTAGTGAGACCCTGTACCAAATACATAAAAACAACTTAAAACACACAAAGGAACCAACCCTCACAGCACCATGGCCGTGCGCGCATTCCTGTCTGTCTGCTGCTGGAAACTCTGCTGCCTCAGCTCCACACCCACTACATCCGCCCAGACGGAGTGGAGCGGAGGCCAGGGCTGCCCGGCTCCCCGGGAGTGTGCAGAGCAGAACCTGGATGGCGGGCACCGGACCGTGCTGTGCTAGGCAGAAGAACGCAAGTGGCCCCGCAGAGGCGGGGCGCGACCTTCCGGAACCGGCTGCACGTGCGTCGCCGCTCTCGCCCAGGCTGCTGCCCGGAGCTCAAGGTGCGTGGGAGCGCTGCAGCTACACACGGAAGCCCACGCGCCCCACCCCGTCAGCCGCTCGGGGCTCCCTGCAGACCACCCCACACCTGTGCCTGCCCCGGGCCGCGCACCTGAATGTCACCGGGGAGATCTTGCCCATGAGGGCATACGCAGTGACGCTCTGCAGGTGGAACAGGGCGCCGTCCGCCAGCAGCAGCAGCACCACATCCTGACTGTAGCGGAAGCTCCCCTCGCTCCTGCTCATCACGGGTACATCCTGCAGCCAGAGCAGAGGGCCACTCTGGGGCTTGCCTTGCCCGGGGCCACCACCGAGAAGAAGAGGCGTCACCTGTGCCGCTGCAGCGAAGGCACCCTGCAGCCGCCTAGCGAGCAGCTGGACCGCCCTCCTCAGGACTTCCTTTGGAATTTGCTATGTTGTTCAGGCTGGCCTGGAGTTCACTGGGTAGCCCAGGCCGGCCTCCAACGCACAGCAACGCTCCTGCTTCAGCCTCCCGAGCGCTGGGATTGCAGACAGGCACCACCCACCTGGCTGCATCGGGACTTTCCAGCTGCATGTGCAGCTGCACAGAGCCCTGAAGCCCAAAAACCTGCGTGGTGGGAAAGCATGGACAGAGCCCAGAGGCTACCACGCCCCACCAGGCAGCCACTGAGCCACAGAGGTGAGGGCACCGGCCTCGGACCCCACGCTTGGACGCCGAGGCAGAGGGCTGCAAGTTCAAGCTCAGTGTGGGCTGCACTGACCCTGTCTCAACAAAGCACCACCTGACATGAAGACACAAACCGACTCCCTTGAGGTTCCCAGAAAGGAGGACACAGGTTGCCAAGGGCCCAGAGAAGTGGCCGTGGAGCTCAGTGGGGACAGGGTTTCCATCTGGGGCAAAGAAAATGTTGCGGGGGTAGGGTGGCAGTGAGCGCACGGTGTGTATTTGGCGCCACCAAGAGGAAGCAGACGTGGTGGCACACACCTGCGATTCTGGCCAGTTAGGAGGCTGGGGCAGGAGGATCACTAGTTCAGAGCCAAACTGGCCAACTTATTGAGACCCTATCTGAAAATAAAAAATGGAGAGGCAGGGTTGGCGCTCAGTTCTACAGGATCCCTCGATTCTACCCCCAGTATCGAAAAATAATAATAATAAAAAGGGCAAGTTTTCTCTTTATTTTATTTATTTATTTTTTTGTGGAATCGAGGATTGAACTGAGGACCTTATTCTACTGAGCTATATCCCTGGTCTTTTTATTTTTATCAGTTTTTGAACTCATTCGTAGTCCAGGCTGGCCTTAAACTCGCAGCAATCCTCCTGTCTCAGCCTCCCTAGGGCTGGTAATACAGGCATGCGCCACCGGGCTGGGCTACGTGGAAGCAAAAGCTGTCTCCCTGAGATCCCAGTACTCCAAGGCTGAGGCAGGAGGATCCCAAGTTGGAGTCCTGCCTGAGAACCTCAGTGGCTCAGTGGGGCCCTTCCTCAAAACACAGAATCCAAAGGAGCTGGGGACGCAGCTGGGCAGGAAGGCTGCATTGTCCAACCCCCAGAGCTGTGAAAAGGAGGGCAGGTGCGCTGCACCCCATGTGCTCCGCAGCACGCGGCCCGCGGCCACCCCAGCTCACGCGCAGTGGCTTTCCCTCAACGGGTCCAACTGCAGGAGAACAATCCAGGGAAACAGGCTGGTGGCCGGGTGTGCGCCCGAGTGGCACTGTCCTCCTGTGAAGCCCAGGACACCGTGCACACGTCCACACCTGCAGGGTCACAGCACTCGGACCACGCGCAGAGGGACCACAGCAGGTATGTGCCCACTTAGTACTCCCTCCTGCAGCACCTGCACAGCATTTTCCCAGTGAAAACAAACCACACAAACCTAAAAACCCACCTAGAAAAAATCTCAACAATCTGGGTGCGTTGGTCCACACCCGTAATCCCAGGATTCAGGAGGCTGAGGCAGGAGGGTTGCCCAGTAGTCACAGCCAGCCTGGGCTACATAGGGAGTTCAAGGTCAGCCTGAACTACATAGCAAGACCCTGTGTGAGACCATAAAGAGGAAGGAAGGAAGTGAGAGAGCGAAGGAGGGAGGGGGGAGGGAAGGAGGAAGAGGGGAGGGAGGCAGGGAATCTGAGCAAGGGGTTCTGGTCTGTTAGGCACCAGGGCACAGCCGCCTCCTGGAGCGCCCCCCAGTGGTGGCCTGGCACCGCATCCCTTAGAGGCCGCCCCGCGCAGGGCAGGCCAGGTGGACAAGGTGGAGCGTACAGCGGCCCAGACGCACCATGAAGAAGATCCAGGCAGGGATGAGCATTGTGACGGCCGCTGCGCTGGTGTAGAACTGAAGCTCCGGGGCCCTGTGGGGACAGGGACCGGGCCTCACACTGGGACCTGAGGGGAGGGCACGGGGCCTCCCACACCGGGACACACGTGGCTTTCTGGTGACAAGGACGGGGTGGCTGTCCAGAATGAAAGGTCAGGCACAGAGCCTGGTGTCTCGGGCTCCTGAGACGGCTCAGGGGTGTGCAGTTTTCCCTGCGTTTGGATAGTGCACAGAGGGCCTGGGCCCGCAAGGGAGATGCAGCAGGCTTGGGGGCGTCGGAGAGTCCCTGGGGACTGGGGATGGCGGGGTTGCCACACTCACGAGAACCGGTACTTGTCCCCGCTGAGCAGCTTCTTGGAAAACACATTCTGTAAACTGGAAAGGAAGCGCTTGCATGGAGCCAGCGTGGGCCAGCGGCCCCCGGGACACGGCGCCATCCACTTCACGGGCCTCCCGAGCGAGGCTGTTCCCGTGTCTGTGAATGCCCTCGAGGGACGCAGGCACCACCTCCTACCCCTCCCCACTCACCAGTCCATGATGTTGGTGGACAGCGCAGCCGAGAAGCCCAGGAGGTTGAAGCTGATCTCAGTGGCGGTGCACAGCGCCAGCCCTCCCATAACTGGGAGGAGAGACAGGTTGACCAGCAGCCCTGGCAAGGGCAGGACACACGTGACATGGGGCTTAGGTCCTCCAGTGTGCCTCCACCCCGGCTGTGCTGGCGCACACCTGTAATCCCAGCGCTGGGGAGGCTGAGGCAGGAGGGTCGTTGTGAGTTCAAGACCAGCCTGGTGGGGGCCTGCCGGTTAGCTCAGTTGTTTAAGTGCTCATGCGAACGGTCAGGTGCAGGACAGCGCGGTTCGACCCCAGCTCCAGCTGCCTTACCGGACCCGCCCTTAAGGCAGCCTGAGGCAGCCCCTGACGCCCCCCAAAGTCCTTCTCAGCTTTTAGTCGGGTCAGGGAGATAGCTCAGTAGAATAAGCGCTTGGCTGGCAAGTGCAAGGTCCCCATTTCAATCCCCAGTACTGCCAAAAAGAAAAAAAAGACCAGGCTGGGCTACAAAGTGAGCTCATGGCCAGCCTGAGTTGAATAGTGAGACCCTGTCTCAAAAAGGCAAAAATAAACAAAGAAATAAATAAAAAGGGCCTGGGAGCAGCTCGGCAGCGTAAACACGTGCCTAGCCGGCGCAAGATCCTGAGTTCGATCCTGGGTACGAAAAATAAATAAGTAGATGAATAAAATAAAAACCTGCTGGCCTTCATGTTGCTGAGAAATAAAGGAAAATGATTCCCCATCAGCAGAGGGTCCCCCTGCCTCGAGGCCTCCAGCAGCCCCAGAGCAGGAGAAGCTGTCTCCAGGAGAGGGGGCCAAGGACAGCGTGACAGCAACGCAGAACGGGCTGCCGGGAGCCCCAGCCCGGGATGACACCCTTCCTTTCTGAATAATAAGAAGCCTACATGACTGGCTTTGAAATCCAATCAACAAGTGAGCAATGACGTAGAGTGGGCCTAAGGAGAGTCCCATGGAGAGAAAACCCTCTCTCGGGCTTTCACAGAGAGCACACTGGCCAAGCAACGGCCGCGACTCATCCGCATGGCTGCACTGACAAAGGTTCTCCAATCTGAGGTACAGGATCTCAGGACAAATCCTGAGCGGATTTCACTGACCTCATCAGACCCAAAAGCTACAACTCTTCTTACACAGGTCCTGCTTTACCTTGGTCTTAACCATCCAGCAGAAAAGTATAAGAATGAAGTATAAGAAGCAAAGCCGAGCTGTATGTTGACCTGAACTCAGGTCAACGATTTCTGACATCTCCAGTCAAGCAAGCAGAAGACCCAGTACTATTATGGACTACTGGACTCTTAGAATATTTTGCTGAGTTTACACACCTATAATATTCAAATAACGGAACTAAACAAAAAAGGGGATACAGATGAATGTCCATTTTGTATCTGTGTATTGAAAGTGGTTAGGATAGACATATAGTTACATTCTCTTAATGAATAGAGGGATTTGTTCTAATGGTGTTTGTAAACAGGATATCATGTCCGCATCTTGTACAGCAATTAACCACTAGGAAGAACGCATGCAATGTGTGAATTATTGAAACTGTCCTCCCAGTTTGGTTTGAAACTGTCTCACTGCTATGTGTTTCTCAATAAAATTATGGGGTTAAACCCCAATCAACAGCACGAGCACACAGTTCCCACGCACACACTTATTTAGGGTCAGGCACTGAGCTGTTCTTTCTTTTTTTCTTTCTTTTTGGTAGAACCGGGGATTGAACTCAGGAAAGCCTTTATTCTACTGAGCTTTCTCCCCGGCCCATTTATTTATTTTTTAAAATTGTTTTTATTGGGGCTGGTGAGATGGCTCAGTGGTCTAAAACACCTACACAGAACAAGCTTAGCAAAGCACCGGGACCGCGGTTCAATCCCCCAGCACCACATACCAGCCAGCCCCGCCCCCTGGTGGGCTGAGCTGGCCACACACACACACATAAATAAATAGAAATTTAAAAATAAAATTTTATTCATTTATTTATTTTTAATTTTTAATTTTTGTGGAACCAGGGATTGAACTCAGGCCCTTGTGCTTGCCAGGCAAGTGCTTATTCAACAGAGTTATCTTCCCGGCCCCCCTGACTTTTTAAAAAGAATTTAGTACAGGGTCTACGGGGTCTCACTATGTACATCAGACTCATAGTGATCCTTCTGTTTATAGCCTCCCATATGCTGAGATTACAGGCACACGCCCCTATGCCCAGTCTCAATCATCAGTGGGCCCCGGGGGCAGGGCGGCACAGCAGGCCAGGGATTGAACTCCCGGCCCCTGCCACTGCCTAAGCAGGGCTTTAATCCGCTGAGCTATTTGGCCCTGTTCTTTGAGTTGGATGCAGCATATACTCTGCAATTGAAAGAAAATGAGGATATGAACGTGTGTGTGTGTGTGTGTGTGTGTGTGTGTGTGTGAGAGAGAGAGAGAGAGAGAGAGAGAGAGAGAGAGAGAGACTAGAATTGAAGCCAGGGCCTTCACACTGGGTTCCACCCCCAACCCATTTCTTGCTTAGATTTTTGAGGTAGGCTCTCGCTAGTCACTAAGCTGCCCCAAATGGGCCGGACTCTGCCACCCTCCCTGGGTGCTGGGTTGCAGGCATGCCCCACTGCCTGCCGTGGGTCAGCAAGGGAAACTGAGTCCCAGTGCTTGGACGGGCGCATGGCACCCCTTTCTGGAAGTAGCTCCCTTCCTCACCATGCACTGCTGCTACCTGGAGTGGAAACCCGAGTTCTCAGGAGCCACCTGGGGCTGGCAGGCCCAGGTGACCGGCAGGCAAACTCAGCCTGGCCCACAGGGACTGCGCTCGGGAGGGACAGGACCTGCACAGGAGAGTCCAAGCACCCAGCCGAGGATTTTAGGACTTTCTCCTGCCACCCTTTGTCCTACGATCCCCTAAAGCTGTGTGGGTGCAGGTGTTCTGGCAGCAGCCGCCCAGCCTGCGCCCTAGGGGGCCCAGCCTTCCTTTGAAGACCTGGCCTGCTGGCCTTCGAGGCGCAGGCAGCCCTGGAAAAGAGCGGGGCGGGGGGGGGAACCTCAGGGTGGGCCTGGGCTCCAGCCAGCACCTCTGAGTTAAGTAAAGGCTTGCAGCAAAGCCGGCTGCACTCTCCAGGTGCTGGCGTCTCAGGCAGGGACAGCAGGCTCAGAGGGGCTGTGAGGACAGTGTGTGGCTGGGCAAGGCAGTAGACTGGGAAGACCCAGGAGCTCAGCAGCCCTGCCCACGGCGCCGGGAGGCTGCCTGGGCCTGGGTCAGGACAGGACCAGCACTGACTTGGCCTGCCATCCCCGCTCTACACGCCTCCCCTTCTGTGCCACAAGACAACCCTGCTCTGACCCACCAGGCCACACAGAGGCAGCTGGGCACACAGGGCCACAAAGCCACATCTGTCCCAGAGATCCTCAGGAGCCCTCGAGCCGCAGCCGACAGTGGGCAGAGAGACGGGATCGTGCCGGGCACAGCGGGTCCGCAGGGCACAGGGACATGGCGGGGCAGGGCCGGCCGCAGCAGGACCGGGACGCAGCGGGGCGCGTGGCTGCAGCTCACCAGTGTACTCGCCCAGGATCATGCGCGACATGACCACGGTGAAGACGGGGGCCGAGCTCTTCACCGTCTCCGCGAAGGACACAGCCACGTTCTTCAGGCTGACCAGGCCCAGGACCACCGTCGCCAACCTGCCAAGAACCCGGGGGACAGCGGGGCACGTGGGCCAGACGCAGGCGCTCCAAGTGGACAGGGACCCCACCCTCGGGACCCCGGCCGGCGCAGAGCCAGGCCGCAGCTTCTAGGTCAGGCCCGAATGCGGCCCGGCAAGAGTGACTGCCGCCCTCCGCTGGCGCCCGCCACACCCCACATGGGTGGGTCAGGCTGCTCCCCGAGAATCTCCTCAGCAGCCGTGGCATGGGGAGCTCCAAAACCAAAGCTGAGGCCTGGCGCTCGCCGCTGTGGCCACGGCAGCGCCCGAGCCCGGTGACCCTGCGTGTTGCAGACCCACTGCCAGGGCCTACCTCATGAGGCCTACGAAGAGCATGGTCATGAGGAAGTTGGGCGGGTAGGACAGCCGGGGCTTGTGCTGGTGCAGGCAGCACGGGACGAAGACCTTGGCACAGCCGATGAGCGTGGTGGACAGCATCTGCACGGCGCCTGCGAGACACATGCTGCCGTGCCTGCCTCTCTGTCCCCCCAGCCTCCTCGCCCGCTGCCCTCCTGCTCCTCACCTAGCATGCTGGGCTCGCCCTCCAGCAGCGACAGGATGTACTTGTTGAGGAACAGCGTGCAGAAGCTGAAGAAGAACCACAGCGTGAGGTAGGCCAGCGCCCTCGCGCTCCACAGGCCCAGGTCCGACTCAATGACGGTGGTCTCGGTGATGGTGATGGCGAGCAGGCTCCCCTCAGGGCCACTCTCGCTCTTGCCAAACAGGATCTTCTCACCGCGGTGGCCAAGCAGGGGGGTCCAGGCCAGCGGAGGCTTCCCTTCAGGCTCCACCTCGGAGCCAGAGCTGGGGACAGGCATGCTCCCCTCCGGAGCCGGGGGCACCGCCATGCCGAGGCCACCACCACGGGCGGAGTGCAGCTCAGCAGGGACAGCATGGGTCACAGCACCTGCCCCGGGGAGGGACGAGGACTTGCCCCGAAGACATGGCCCCAGGGAGGCCGGAACTCTGCGAAGAGGAAACAGGCGCCTCACATCAAGTGTCAACGCTCTCAGAGGTTTCATCACCGAGCAAATGCACCGTGAGACACAGGCAGTGAGCACCGTCTCAGCCCTGCCGTGATCCCCGCCGACTCGGTCTTCGGGGCTCTCCCCTCCCAGCACGCCTCCAGCGGGGCTCTGCCCAGTGCGGCAGCAGGCGGTTCGGGCTCACCCATCCGAATCGGTCTGATTGTTTTGTTCTTTCAGGAGACGCTCCTGGGGACGTGCCTGCCTCAGATCACAGGTGTGTGGCACCGTGGGGGCTCGTTCCACTCAGGCTGGGCTCCGCCAGCCAGTTCACTTCGTGTTGTGTGTGTCGCGTGTGTCATTGTGTGCCTTTTCCTGGGGGCACTGAGGGTCAAGGCCTCTACACTGAGCTACCTTCCCAGCCCGTTTATTTTTTCTTTTAAGACAGGGTCTCACGAAGGTGGTTAACTGCACAAGCTGGGCCTCAACTTCTGATCCTCCCGCCTTAGCCTCCGAGGGCGGGCGGCAGGTGCGTGCCATCACATCTGGCTCACAGGACACACTTAACCCGAGGGCTGCTCAGCTCCCTCCTGGTGGGCACCTCTCCCAGACGTCGGCGCCTCTGCAGAGAATGAATGCCGAGCTCAGGTCTTTCCTGCAACTGAGACCTAATGGCCCTGCCCAGCGACGCTGCAGGCTGCAGTCACCCTCTCCTGGTCCCCGTCTGTCTGTCCAGGGCACAGCCAGTTCCACCGAGTGTACCCACAGGGCAGCACAGACCTCCCCAGGGCCGAGCTGCCCCACTGTGGTCCCGCCGGGGCCCCTGCTCCACTCAGGGACCACCTGCAGGCCCTGGAGCTGCAGGAAAGGCCACTGCCAGGCACAGCTGCCTGTGGGGACCCAGACACCTGTCCCCACCCCTTCACTGTAGGGCATCCACACAAAGCCCCCTGCCCCATGGGGACTCCAAGCCCTGCAGGGCTCCACCTTCCCAACCAGCCCCAATACTAACGCCTGAAATCACTCAGAGAGGATTTGGATAATGCTTCTACTTGACATCACAAAAGAAAGCCTGGGGCTGGGGAGATAGCTCCGTGGAATGAGCGCTTGCCTGGTAAGCACAAGGTCCCGAGTTCATGAGTTCAATCCCCCGTACCGCAAAAAAAGAAAGAAGGCCTGAGTTCAAGACGTGTCCTCTGCAGGGTACTCCCGTGTGGGGGCAAAGCGGGCGACCAGCAGCGGTGTGGCGCCCTCCTCCCCTCAAGGCCATGGCCTTCGCCCCTGTGGGTATCTGCCTCACAGCTGTGTGATGGTGACATTTTATAGCTAGAGGCTGGATAGAAGCCCCAAGATCTAGCTCTCACACAGCACAGACGCGGGGTAAGTGACACGGGAGGGAAGCGTGAGGGGCACACCTGGATCTCAGCACTCTGGGAGGCGCGGGCAGGAGGAAGACCGAAAGCTCCAGCCCAGCTGGGCCACTTTAGCACGGGACCAGGCACGGTGGTGCACCCCTGTAACCCCAACATTCAGGAGGCTCAGGCGGGAGGACTGCAGTGAGTCAGAGACCAGGCTGGACCACACACTGCATTCAAGGCCAGCCTGGAACATAGCGAGACCTTGTTTCAAAGCCCCCCTCCACAAAGAAAGGGCTGGGGACACAGTTCAGGGCAAAGGCCTTGGATTTATCCCCCCACACATAAAAGACCAAAGGAATCTGGAAGTGACTCCCACAGTCTGCTGGCCACACAAGCATCCTCTGCTGACCATGTGGGCTCGGCCAGGAGCTTCCGCCTACCTGGTCTGGGTTCCTGGTGGGTGCGCGGGCCTGTAATTCTGCCCATGGGACATCTACACCCTGTCCCGATACAACTCCATTCACCTTGCTCACTCCAGCTAGGCCTGCTCACTGTCCCTGGTTCCCACGCAGCTTTTCCTGTCCCCACCTCCCCCGGTACATGAATACTGCAGCAGCACCCCCAGCTCCCAAGTCCCTGAGACACTACACAGACCTGTCTGCCAGCGAGTTCAACCCCAGACAGAGCGAGGCCACTGCCCTGCCCTGGAGCCACCCTGCCAGCCTCCTACTGCTGCACCAACTCAGGGACTGCGCAGGCCGGAGTCACCCGTGGTGGGACACAGTCTAGACAGAGCTATCCCATGTAACTTCCCAGAGTTACCACAGGTGGCAGAACTGAAAAGGAACACCACACTGCACGGGCCAGCTCGGAAGACTGCTGCAGCTGAGAGAAAGGTCGCCAGCAACAGCAAAACACAGCATAACTGAAGATGACCACCAGGAGAGACAATGGCCACGCTCTGGGAACAGGCCTGCGACCTCTGCCTGTGGGACCAGCCCAGCATGGAAGCGACAGGACCGAAGGACAATGCGCAGTGCTACTGGAGAGCTGCTGGACATGGCTGGGGTCCTGATGCTGCCTGGGACTCAGAGATCCTCAGGTCACCAAGGTGTGCCCTTTCACCAGGAAGTCATGAGGCCCCTGGGCAGGAGGCCCAGCCTGTGCCTGTGCCGCGTCCCAGGTGCTTCTGCACGTCTGGACGTGAGGTATCTCCTCAGAGGGCTCTATGGGAGGTCAGTTCAGTCCCACGGCAACCGCCACCCCACTTCGCACACCATCAACAGCGCAGGATGTGACTGGTGGGCCTCATTTAGGCCCTGCGGCGCCTCCCCAGGTGCACGTAGAGGGACAGCCAGGCCCCACGCCCTCAGCACTGGACAGTCACCACTGTCCTGGGTGTTCTTGCCTCGGCAGCTCTTCTTGTTACTCAGGAAACTCCCAGGGTTTGAAGGGCACCATGCTGGGGACAGGGAAAGGCCAAGTGTCCTGAGATTCTGTCAGAATGGCTGGTGGCACTTCCCGCAAGCAAAGGCCACCATGCTTGCGTAGAAGCCCCAGGCTGCTGTCAATGTCCCCAGGAAAGATCCTGCCCTGTGGCCTGCCTGCCGCTGGGCCCTGGCTGCCTGCACCTGCCCGGCTGGCTGGCTCTGCAGGCCCCACTCCTGGGGCGGCTGGGGAGAGCAGGCTGAGGGCGTGCAGGCAGCCGGGGAAGAGGTGCAGCTGGAAGCCGGCTTACAGACCAGCCCTGAGGATTCAGGCAAGGTGGGGCAGGCCTCTACACACACGCATGCACAACACACGCGCACATGCACACTGCGGCACGCGCACACAGGAGGCCTTATCAAAGGGTGGGGGACCCATCCTGTGAGGACCACCAACTGGAGCCCAGCACCTTGCACAGCTCCCTTTCCTTATAAAATCCTAGGTTTCTGTCTGGTCCTTGGAGCTTTTTTCCCGAGTAGTGGGGGTTGAGCTACACGTCCAGCAGTTCATTTCTTAGGTTTAATTATACTCCTTTCCCCAGTCCTTTGTAAAAATATTTTGAGACAGGGTCTTGCTAAACCACTAAGTTGCCCCTGCCCCCCAGTCAGCCCAGGAAGACCAGCACAGGGCTGAGCACTCCAAGAGGGACCCTGGGGGGCTCGAGGGCCCTGCCTGGGAGAAGCAAAAGGGGTGGAGAGGGTCTGGGGAGCTTGATGCAGGGTGGCGCTGGGATGAGCGGGGAAGACTCCCACTCCTGAGCCTGGGGTCAGAGGCAGGGATCGCAGGTCAGAGAGGCGCCAGGCATGGCAGTACCAGCGCTGCCAAGCAAAGCCAAGGCGCCAGGGGGAGAATCACAGGACACCCGGGGTGGCCCCAGCCTGGGATCCCAGCTACTCGGGAGGCTGAGGCAGGAGGGCCACAGGCTGAAGCCCAGCCTGGGCCATCTGCTGAGACCCTGTCTCAAAATAAAAAGCAGAAAATGTAGGGGCTGCAGCTCCATGTGAAGGCCCTGTTCAGCGCACGCACACATTGGTACACCCTGGCACACCCTGGCGCACGGCTGGGAATGGGCAAAGGGCAGGAGCGAGAAATACCCACCGTCCTCGGACCCCATCCCTTTGGACTGGGCGTATCACAGGGGTGCGGAGATGGGTGACCCGCAAGCCCCAGAGCACAGTACTTGGGCAAGCGGGACTTTGAGACCAGAGCAACACAGCAGGGCAATAGTCCGTCCCTGCCAGCGAGCAAAGATCCACCTGGTGGTGCATCTGGGGCCTTGATTCCAGGCCAGCCCAGACCACACAGCAAAACCTGACCTCAGGAACAGAAAATAATAATCATTACAATAATACACTGGCAAGTTACAATCAGTAACATTCACCCTGCAGCACCTGGGAACTGGGCAGTGCCAACTTGGGTTTTTCTGGGCGTTCTGGGTACCACACCCAGAGGCACTTTACCACTCCTCTATATCACCAGCCCTTTTGAAAAATTTATTTTGAGGGGCGGGAGACGCTCAGTAAAATAAATGCTTGCCTGGCAAGCGCAAGGGCCTGAGTTCAATCCCCAGTTCTGAAAAAACAAACAAACAAAAAAATTATTTTGAGGCAGGGTATCGTTAAATTGCGCGGCTTTGAATTTGTGCTCCTCCTGTCACAGGCTCCTACACAGCTGGGGCTGAAAGTGTGCAGCACCACACCCTGCGATGCCCTTTACTCTGCTTACAAGTGAGGCCTGGGTGCAGTCCACACCCAGGAGAGGTGTTCTATGGCTGGACTCCAGAGAGACTTCGCGCGCCTTCCCACCCCGGCCCAGACTAAGGCAAATGGGGAACAGTGCACGGTGGCGAAATGAATGGCGCCCAGCCAGCCCCAAGCTGCTGACAGGCAGGCCGAAGAGAGAAAGGGGATGGTCCAGCCCCCGGGGGAAGGGGAGCCAAGACTGCCCAGCCTGCACCAAGGCCCAGCTCACTGGTCCTGCCCAGGGACCCAAGGCTGGCTCTGTCTCCTCAGCCCAGGAGACACTTCTCCTTCTGGGGGAAGCAGTTCTTGTCCTGAAGACACAGGGGGACAGAGATTTGTCCAATAGCAAACCAGTGGTAACCTGCTGAAGCCAGGCACCGGGGCCCACCTGCCAGTAGTGCCCATCATGAGGGAGACAGACACAGGAGAAAGGCTCAAGGCCACCTTGGGTAACTTAAGACCCTATCTCAAAATGAAAAATAAGAGGGATGCGGCTCGTGACAGGAATACCTAGCATTTGCAAAGTCCTGGATTCAGTCCCTAGAAGCGGGGGCAGTGGCCAACTTCGTGGCTCTCCAGGAGCAGCTGCAGCCAGGTCATAGCTCTGGGGCTGGGGTGGGGAACCAGCTGCTGACCGGACCAGGCGGCTCTTGTGGGCGGCAACCAAGTGGCCAGCGCAGAGGAAAACCATGCCCCAGCTATGCACGTCGCTGCTCCTGACCCTTTCTGGGGACAGCAGCCTGGGCTTTGGGGGCAGACCCCGCTCTGCGCTGGGACAGGTGGGAGTGCAGGGACACCAGTACCACCTGCAACTGACCTGCCTTGGCCAGGAATGCTTAGGCCAGGGACCTCAGACAAAGGTCACACCATCCAATGTAGGCTGGTCCTGGTGCCACAGGTCTGTAATCCCAGCACTCGGGAGGCTGACGCAGAAGGACAGCCTAGTTCAACTCCAGCCTAGGGTATGCAGTGAGTTTAGGACCGGCCTGCATACATGGGGAGACTGTCTCAAAAAAAATTTAAAAAAGAAAGAAATCTCCCGGACTACCCCCTGTATAGTTTCCCTGACGGCTGGGCTCCCGAGACCCAGGGTAGGACTCTCATTGGGCACGGAAGAGCTGAAGATGTTCCCAGACTCCGGGGCAAGAAGTCTGCATTGATTCAAATTGTTGGTGTGACCATCTCAACCCCAGCACGTGTCCAGGGACAGAACCTCGAGACTGTGCACTGGGCTAACCACAGGCTTTTTTTGTTTTTGAGATCGGCTCTTGCTTTGTAGTCCAGGCTGGGCTTGAACTCATTGTGCAGTTCAAACTGGCCCTATGGGGCCGGGAGATAGTTCAGTGGCATAAGTGCCGGCCTGGCAAGCACAAGGTCCCAAGTTCAATCCACGGTATTGCAAAAAAACACTGAGCAGTCAAACTAGCCCCAAACTCAGTGATTCTCCTGCCTCTGCCTCCCAATTGCTGAATTAGGTATGTGCCACCACATCCAGCTTTTTTTTTTTTTTTTTTTTAACAAGGTCTTAGTAGGTTAGTAAATTTCCCAGATGGGCTCAAATTTGTGATCCTGTGGTTTGACCATCCTACCACACTTGGCTCTATTTTTCATATATATATTTCATTTCATACAGGGTCTCACTACACAGCTTGGACTCATAGTGATCCTGTTGTTTTCCGCCTCCCCAGAGCTGGGATTACAGGTGCGTGCCACCATGCCAGATTCCAGTGGCCACGTGGCGCAGGGCCCACACGTTATGTGGTGCCAGGGATCGAACCCTGGTCCCTGTGCTTGCCTAAGCAGGTGCTTAGTCCACTGAGCTATCTTGCTGGCCCAGATATTTCCCTTTTAACATTCTTTGCAGGCCGGGGAGATAGCTCTGGGGTCTAATTGCCTGCATGGCAAGTGCAAAGACCAGGGTTCAATCCCCCCCTGCACCATGCTGGCCACTGAAACCAGGCATGGTGGCACACACCTGTAATCGCAGCGCTGTGGGGGCTGACACAGGAGGATCACTGAGTCTGAGCTGCATAGTGACATCCTGTACCAAATAAACCTTTAAAAAGAAAAAATCTTTTCATGCTGTTTAACGTTTCATTCTGCAAAACGTTCGGGTTTGTTTTCTGTTTGAGACAGGCTGACCTTGAACTCAATTACGCAGGCTAGGCTGGCCTAGACCAGAACTCAGTGATCCTCCTGCCTCAGTCTCCTGATGTTTTCAAACTGTTTACAGAGTTTATCTTTATAAAGCACAGTGACCTTGGTTAGTTAGGAAAAGCTTGAGCCAGGCACTAACTGTGCTGCAACCTCAGGTGCTGGGGGCAGGGGCTGGAGGATCGCAAATCTGACACCAGCCTGAGCCATTTAGGGAGAGCCTGTCTCAAAAAAGAAGAACCGATGGGAGGTAGCTGGGTGTGTGCTGGGCCAAGTGACCACGAGGGGTGGCTGGGTGCGCCCTCTCCACAGCAAGGTCTGGCTTGGCTTTTCTTTCTTGCAGCAGTGCATGGCGTGTGCAAGGCTGGGAGCCATGCCTGACATGGAGGCACATGCCTGTAATCCCGGCTCGGGAAGCTGAGGCAGCGGGATCTCTGCGCGCTGGAGGCCAGCGTAGGTTACGATGCGGTCAAGGCCAGCCTAAACTGCACAGACCCCGGCTCAAAGACAAAAAAAAAGAAAGAAGGGGGTGGGCGGCACGGGAAACCGCCCATCTGCTACAAGGCCTCGGGGACAACCGTCACGGCAAAGCACGGCCAGACAGACGGGAGCTCACCAGCGATCCCAGCAGCCGGCGAGCTGAGGAGAATCGGAAATCCAGCCCGGAGCGCGAGCCGCCCACGTTCAGCCACCGCGTCCGGAAGGACGAAACCCTCCGAGGAGCCGGGGAGGCGGCGCGGGGAGAAAGCCCAGGGATGAGAAGGCCGGCGAGAAGGCCTGCTTCCTGCGAGGAGGTCCGGCCGCGCCACGGCCCGCCCGCCCGCCGCGGCCGCCTCGCTCCGGGCCCTCACCCCGCTTCGTCCCGCCCACCTCCTTCGTCCCGCCTACCTTCGTCCAGCCGAGGATCCCACCGGCGGGCGGGCGCGGTCCTGACGCAGACGGGGTCTTCCGCCGACACCGGTCCGTTGGGGCGGAGGGCCCGGATAGGCGTGGGGGCGTGGCGTGGGGCGTCGGGGGCGTGGCGTGGGTGACGGGGCGTGGCGGGACGTAGTGGGGGG